CTAAAGGGATAAGGCTTCCTTCAATTCCTCCCAGTTAGAGATGGAATCTGGTTTGAGTGTCTGGAACCATCTTCGGGCAGAATCTGTTAAATGGTTCTGGAACACTCGGCACATTATTTCCTCTGCATATCCATGCATAAGCATGTGTCCCGTGTACATCTCCAGATGGTCATCGGGATCCCCTCTGTCATCGTATGGTGGGATCGACGGAGACCTGTATTTGTCAGGGATAGGCTGCACCATGATTTCTGCTGTAAAGGGGTCGTCATGAGTTCGACTGGGAGTGATGTCGACATTAACCACCTCCGCCACCTGTCCTAGGTTCTTGTGCAGGTGGCTTACCTAGCTTTTGGCGTCCTTCTTTAAACCGGCAACGTCAGCTGTGAACTTTTCTTCTAAGCCCGTTACACATTCTATGATGGCTCTTGCTTCCTCCGTTGAGATTGTAGAGCGGATCCCTTTTGAGGCTTCTGCCTTTCTGGCATCCAGCTTATTCCTTAGGTCGTCACCTTCTTGCACCGACCCTGAATCTCCCAGAAGATTCTTATCCGGATTTCGAGGTGGCGCTTCAGGGTTCCCCAGGCCCACGACTGCTCTTTTCCCCTGGGCTCGTCGCCTGGCGGCCCTTTGTCAGCTGCTGAGGGATTTGGACGGTCGAGACCTCAGGTTATCTCATCCGGCATTTTCACTCTCCCTGATCCCTTCCGGGACACCTTATTGGTCACCAGTATTCTGGTTCCCAACCACGGTGAACCCTGGTGGTCTCGGGGCGTCCTCTAAAGGAGGCATGGAGTTTCTCTCGTTTATTCGCTCGAAGGCGGTCATCGGCCCTCGAACCATGTCGGTTAGAGCATTCAGTTAGGCCTACATCTCTACCGGGTTAAGCTACGGCATATCTGGGGGTGGGGCTTCATCCCTTATCGGGGGTTGATTCCCCTGGTCGGGCTGACCTCCTCCACTCTCACCGTTGGTTGGATGCGTGGTGTTTTCCTCTGTTTGGCTACGTTGATTTACAACGTCACTTCTCCTTGGAGGCATTGTCGTTGAATACTTTTTAGTCGTCTCGGGTCCTAAACCCGCAACCAGAGATTCTGGGTTCGGTCCCCAGTGAAGTCGCCAATTGTTGATGGTCAGTTTTGATCAACAAGATTGCACCGGGTTACCCCGCAATGGCCCGTTGGATTACTGGCTAAAACGTGTAATTTAACTGAGTATTCTAAACACGGTGTCGATGTTTTTGGTGTATTGTGAAGAGTATTTGATATTGTGTGTTCATGGAAGTAAAAACGCGTGCAAGTTTTTATAGTGGTTCACCCTTATAAAAAAAGAGCTACATCCACTGTATTGTATTTCTCTTTTTATTCTTTTGAAGGTTACATAAAAAGGATCCTCCTTCTATCTGGGGCTTTGCCCCATTTTATAGCCCACAGATTGTATGTGGGTCCCTTCAGGATGGGCGGTCACAGGGAGTTACATGATGGTTTTCCTCAAGTAGCCTGTCACTCTACCTGCCTAGACTGCAGCCTTTTTAGCACCTTTTAGTCCGTTCAGTCATCTAATTTGTCTCATATCACGGCTCTGCAAATCCTAGGTTATCCCCATTGGTCCTCTCCAGGCGGTTTATGGGCAAGCAATCATTTCTCGTGTTGCTGAGCTCTTCCAAGTCCAGACGCAACCTGGAGATTTCCCTTTGTCCGCTCAAGAGCCTTTATGGGGATGTGGACCCATACTTATGCAGTCTGCCCCCTATGGCCATAGCATACAAAATAAAGCGCAGACTCTTTATTTGCAATCCTATCATGGTGCCTCTTATGTGAACAGGTCTTGCCTCGACTGCATATAGGGGCGGCGGTCTTATGAGCTCCATACAATAAGTCCTTTTAGCATGTGGAGGGGAGACGAGTCCCAGGCGTCGACAGCTATCTGTCGTGGCTGACACCAGGCCACGTGGGGCACTGCCATTGTCTGACGTGTCAGCGCACATTTTCCCACACAACACATAGGATCAAGCTAAATGGCAAGACTTTTAATTAGTCATGTGGAGGAAAAAAGATGGGTATAAGGACTTCCTCATATTGCAGAGTTCTAATGGTATTCAGTGAATTAGTGTTGGTATGATCGCATCTGAACACTTAAGGGTTTCGTGGTGACAGGTAGATTAAAGTGCAAGATGCTAGCAACGCGGGATGCCTCTAGAAAAGGAAAACCTCAAGCGAGAGGTAGAAATCGAGGCTACTCGACTCAAGCTACGAGGATTTGGGACTTGAGATTTCTGGATTAAACTACTAGCATAACATGACCAATTGAAATAGGGAAATAAGGGCCCTTCTGATGCCCCAAACAATGGAATGCGGTTAAAAAATGATACATGACGAGTCCTCCTCATTGGCCTGTTTCTGCTTAGAAAAGTTTACCCTTCCACCCAATTTTGACGTCAGCGTCAAAGATTCTGGGATGACACTGACGAAGCCCACGCGCGGAGTGATTACTGTAGCGGAGCCTGCCACCGAGCTAGCGAGTGTGGTACCGAGCTTTCGGACATGTATGATTACACACGATTACTTATGTGCAAAATAAACACAAAAAGGCCCTGCAATGACGAGTAGATCAAAGCGAAAGATGATGGCAGCGCAGGATGCCTCCTGAAAAAGGAAAACGTCGAACAAGGGATAGAAATCAAGACTGCTCGACTCAAGGAATGAGGATCCGAGACCTAAGAATATTCCTAGATAAAGTGTTTTCTATTCCTTATGCATTTTCTCCTTTTTTTTATACTCCACATTTTATCTTTTATTATTTTTTTTTTTGAACAAAAAAGAAAAGGAAAGGCGATAATTTTTTGTTGTTGTTGTTTTCCCTCACCATTTTCGTAAACTTCCCTTATATTACATTAGCAATCTCTCCCTCTTCGTCTCTATCTCCTCCCTAACACACTTTTTTTTTTGCCGGAAAACCATGACCTATTCTGTTGCAACATCTAGGAACCTCCCTAACACTCACTCACACTGTCGCACACACTTTCTCCCTCCGTCCGTCCCCCAACACTAAATAATAACATCTTCAATCATGTTAGCCACTTTATGTTTTTAACTAAAATGACTAATGATTTAATATTTTTGTAGTTTTTCTCCACTCCAACCATTTAACTAAATGGTTTGTTATTTTAGAGAATGCATTTTAAACTATCTAAATATAGCTAACAATAAGGAGCTAGCCATTTATTTATTTTTATTATTTTATTCTTTCAAACCACAAAAAATGCAAAGGTTCCTTTTTAAATTCAATAAAATTATTTATATTTTAAATTCAATAAATATTAATATAATCTATGTTTAGCTAAAATAGAGTATGGTCATGGAGATCATCTAAAAATTGTTAGATAAAATAGCTAAATAAAATAGCTTTTTAACTAAAATTTAGAAAGTCCTAATACCTTCTATTTTTACCCCTAATTGGTTTTTTTTTTTTTTTTTTTTTTTTTTTTTTTTTTTTTTTTTTGCACCTGGAGTTCTAAACCTTTTTACTTCTGATACTATAGACAACTGGGATTCTAAACTATTTTTTCCTTCTTTTGGGTACTGTTACTCTCCATGAGATTTTTGTTTTGCGTTAAATGCGGTTCCAACTTAATATTTGAACGCTATTTTACACCTTTAAGCCCCCAATAACTTATTTTCATGAGGAAAAGGTTTCCCAAAACTTATTGTCTTTTTTTTTTTATACCAGAAAAACTTATTGTTTTTGGCATTAACTATTACGTCTTTTTTTTTTATTACTTTTTGTAAATTATTTATGATGAAGCTTAATTAAGAAATATAAAATGAGTGTTTTAAAAATTACCCAGTTATCTCAATATTAAAAATAGAGACCCAAGTATTAAAGGTCAAAAAGTTTGAGGATTCCAAGTGCTAGACACTTCATTAATTATCTCTTCCATTATCATTATCATCAATATCATCATCATCAGTTATTTATTCATTTACTTTTGAGAATATGGACCTATCCAGGACTATATTTTAGAGACCCAAGGATATATAGTTCTTTTTTTTAGAACACATTGGAAAGTTCTTTTTGAATTGTACCTAGGATCCATATACATTTATTATTATTACTAGTATATAAAGCGCAGTTCCTTTGAATCACTGTTTACAAGTTTCATTCATGTATTTTATCGTTGTGTGTCTTCTACTAATTTATTCTTTTTTTTTTTTTTTCCTTTTTTCTTTCTATTTCGCTTGCTGAAGTCAGTTTTTGAGTGTCTTTTTTCTTGTCGATCGTTCATGGCTTTGTTTATTTTGCAGTTAGGTGTCTTCTGCTTTTTCTTTCTTTTTCTTTTCTTTTCTTTTTCTTTCTATTTCGCTTGCTGAAATCAGGTTTTGGAGTGTTTTTTATCTTGTCATTCATGGCCATGTTTAGCCATGCTCTTTATTTTTTTTTTTTATTATCATGTCGTTTTTTTTTCCTGTTTTACTTTTTCTTACTTCTTTTGTGTTGCTTCTTTCCCTTAAAATCTTATATTCTTAAATACATTTCTTTTAGATACTTGTTTCTTATAATTTATCCCTGTTAAAATACCTTTTCTAAAATATGTCTCTTTTTTCAATATTTTTTCCTTATAGTCATCCAACATATTACTTTCTCACAAGTGTCCTTTATTATGCTTTTTTAATTGCCTTATTAAATATTTTTCTCATATATTTCCTTATTTAACAATGTGTTTATTTAAATATGTTCTACAGAATACAGATTTATCTTTTTTTTAGATAGTTCTACAGCTTATCTATATGTACGTAATTTAGATAGAAAAAAACATTTTGATCGAATATATTACACATTTTGATACTTCTACATTTTTAATTATCTCATATTTTTGAACGTTTCACCATACAAAAAAAAAAAAAAAAAAAGAAAGATCAAATCTTAAGTACTGTTATCAAATATTATTCAGACAGTGTTTACTGTTAACATGTATCCAAATGAACGTAATTAATCATAATAAATTATATATAAGTAGTTTTGATCTTCTTCCTCTTGAGAAGCTGAAGCACAGAGAGTGCAGTGCAATAAGCAATGGCCTGAACAGTGACCATTGGATTAACCCCCAAAGCCGTCGGAAACACACTTGTGTCGGCCACAAAAAGTCCCTCCACCTCCCAAGTCTCCCCCATCGGATTCACCGCTGATGTCGCCGCCGCAACTCCCATCCGACAGCTCCCCATCTGATGCGCCGAACATATCGGCCACCGCAGTCCTCTCATTTCCCTCCCACTCTCCTCCTTCACAAACCTCTCCAACTCATGGTAGCTCGCACTCTTTACGTTTATGCTTTTCCCCTTCCCATGATGCGTTCCGATCTCCTCTGCTCCCGCCGCCGCCAATATCCTCAGCACCTTCTCCACCCCCGCCCTCAGCTTTTCCTCATCGCGGGCCTCAACGCTGTACCTGATTTCGCTATCTGAATTCACCGTCCCCGACCCTTGGTCTCTCGCCAGCGCAAACACATGAGCTGTTCTCGAGAATCTCCGCATCCGATCCTTCATGTCCTTTCCAGAAACCCATGGCATTAGGATGGAGAACATGCCGGGGTGAAGCGCCGGCGTCTGTATCACCGTGCCGTAGCCGGACTTTTTGAGATCAGCCGCCACCGTCGACATGGCCGTCATGATCCCTCCCTCGTAGCTCTTCTTCTCCGCCAAGAACGATGAGGAGTTATCGGGAAAGTAGCCCCACGCCATTGCCACCGGGTGGAGGTGCAAGTTCTTCCCGATGTTGGGGTTTCTCAGCCCGCTTCGTTTCAACAACGTCGGAGTCCTCAAAGCGCCACAGGCAACTACTGTAACCCTAGACTCAACAACGCAGATTTCCTTATCTCCTTTGCTGTTTTCGAATTCGAAGGCCACTCCGGTCGCCGTGTTCCTCTCCCTCCCACTCTTCCTCTGATGCAGGACTTTAACGGCTTCGGATCCCGGGAGAATGACGCCGTTTCCCGACTCGACAAGGTCCAAAAGCCACGTCTCTGAAGTGCCCTTTTTCCTTCCGTCTTTGCAGCCGAGACAGCACCAGCCACAGTAGTGATCAGACGGTGCGTTTCGAGGGATGTTGTCAACGGGATACCCCAATTCCTCACACCCTTTTCTTAGAACGGCGTTGTTGAATCCCTCCTCCTCAATCTCCGACTGAACTTGCATTCTTTTGCACACAACATCTAAAGCTTCTTCGTAAAGTTTACTTCCGAAGAGTTCGAGCTCATATTCGTCGCACCATTCCTTTCTCACGTGTTGAGGAGTCGGAATGGAAGCGGACCAGTTGATCGTCGAGCCTCCGCCGACAGTGGAGCCCGCCAGCAACAGAACGTCCATGTCTGCAGTTGCCATCAGACCGTTGGATAAGTACATCTGATCCAACGTCGGACCTTCTAGAAGCGTGAGATTATTCCTCGCGTAGTAGTTTCCTTTCTCCAAAACAAGCACCTTGTAACCCGCCCTAGCTAAAAGGCCAGCCACCACGCCGCCGCCGGAGCCCGAGCCGACCACGACGGCATCGCATCGAATTTTGAGAAAAGGGTCGAAGATGGAGCTGGGGACCTTGTTATTATGGGTTGATCTCTCTTGTGGAAGAATGGAGGTGCAGGGACGTCGTCGTTTCACGGGGAATCCATGTCGTTTAAGTGTGTTGATTAGGGTTAGGTCATGAGGAAGGGTTTTGAAATCGACTATGCCACTGGAAAGTGGTCCAAAGAGAATTTCTTGTTGTTGTTGTTGTTGTTCATCAAGTTTGGTGGTGGCGGCGGTGGTGGTATTTTGGACTTTGAAATCTGGGTCAGGTCCAGTATAGCCAATCGCTTTCCATGATACGTTGTGATCCTTGCTGTCCACCTGAAAAGTAGGGATCGAATTTTATTAAACTATTAAATTAATAAGCTTAATTTGTTCAATTACGTACGTACGTTAATTATTAGCGCATGGTCGCTTTCATTACTACAGAGTAATAGGCGCAATTATAGGGTTCAAGTAGCTAGCCAACTAGACATCTCATGATCTCTTTAATTTCCATGGCAATATATAATTTGGTTGGTTTGTATTTGGATATTAAGATATAGTTATTCGTCAATTGTACTAGCTATGGTGATGGTCTATGTCAAAACAGATAAATATATAATTATTCCCAATGTTTCTATTCTATACTAATTAATTAGCTAGATAGTCAGTTTCCTGCCTTTTTCCGTATTAAATATTATTGCTATCTGAGTGTAGCCTAAAGAGTGTTTTTTCTTAATCATTTTTTTTTTTTTAAAGAAAGAGATACTAAACTTACTTCTAAGACATCACAAAATTTGAGTTTATGATTATGAATATTATGGCCTCATTTGTTTTGTATATTCGAGTTTTCAATTCGAGCTTGAATGTAATATTTTTTGAAAACTTAACTGTAGTAAAAAAAAATTAAATATGATATTTTCTAAAAAAATTTAACCGTAAAAACTTAAAATTAAAAACTCAAATTGATAAAATGAACAAGTCATATATTATCTCAAATTTTAAAATTAAAAACTTAAATTGATAAAATGAACGAACCATATCTCAAATCACTCAGCAAAGTCAAGCTAGCTAGCATTAAGTTGTACTAGTACGACACTGAAAGTCAACAAGTAGGACTCTAAAATTAATATCAACAGTATGATTTGATTTCGCATGCAAGGCCCTCTCTCCATACTCTTTTTCTTTTTTTTTCTGTTTAATTTTTAAGATTATATTTATTTTACTGATTTGAGTTTTATTATAGTAAAAAAACTCAAAAAAATAATCACATTTAATTTTTTTACTACAGTAAAAAATCTCACATAAAATTATATCTAACTCAAATTAAAAATTTAAATCAGTAAAATAAACGGATTTTTAAGTTTCCAAGAGACAATTCAGACTAATTATTCTATCTTGTGTACTAACTTTTCAACAATAATTTAAACATGATATATAGCATCATCTGATTCGTATGAATATATATATATATATATATATATATATATATATATATATATATATATATATATATCGCTAATATATATTTCGTATATTATAATCGAGGTGACAATCATGTTATAATTTGATTTTGAATACAAATACCAAACAACGCCGTGATGTGTGCGCGAGCGCAAGTGTGTACGTCATATATATGTCTGTCAATATATAAAATTAACTAGAGAGGACAGAACGTGATAAATTCAAGTATTCCTCGTTCAAAATTAGAGAATCGTAGCTAGTATTCTATATACATATAATTAAGTGATCAGAGCAGAATACACAGATATATATATACATATAGATATAGATGTGTGATGAAGGGTAAAAATGTAGATAAGAAATATATATACCTGGGTGAAGAAGACGAGGAAGGTGAGAAGCTTGAGAGACCAGTAGAGTAAGCGAAGAAGAAAAAAGTAACTCTGAGACCAAGAATTGAGAATCTCTTGGCGTCGTTGGTGAGAGAGATTGGGAAAGCTGTGAAAGTAGGGGAAAGTGGTGGAAACGCTTGCTATTCCGCACATAACGAAGGTTCCGAACCACGTAGACAACGCCCACAACGCCACTTTCAACAGCCACTTCTTTGGGTGCTTCAGTCTTTCACTTATCATTCCACCTAACTGCAACACCACCATGTTTTACAAACACTACTTTTTTTGTTTTTTTTTTTTTTTGTTTTTTTTTTTTAAAGAACAGTTATTTCTGTGTTTTTGATATTTATATATAATATATTTTGGAAATTGGGTAACATGCATGTATTTTTCGGTATTTTAAGCTAAAAGTAAAATGAAACGCGGCAAGGAGAATAATTAAAAAAAAAAAAAAAACGATTTAAAATAAAATAAATTTGTGTAAAGATAATTTATTTTAGACTATAATGGTAATTGACAAAGTGAAAGTGAACATACACGTTGAGGAGTTGCGGCCATGGAAGCGGAAGTGGCGTAGAACTTGAGAAGGGATTCGTCGGCGGTGAGGTCGGAAACGTCGACGGAAGGCAAAAAAGCGTCGGAGACAGCGATGAGAGTGTCCATTTGACGACGGCTCAGAGAGCTTTCGTAAATATTGAACACATTATTATTATCATTACGACTTTTCTCTTCTTTCATTGCCTGATCTGCAGTAGAACTAGTCCCAACATTAGCAATATTAATCTTAATGTCCCTGCAGCCGGCCAAATACTCCGTGTCTGTTAAATATTCTTGTAAATATTGTTTTTCGTCCATCTCCGATGATACCCTAAGACTATGGTGCTTTCTTGCACTCTTTTGTTCATCCATAATTAAATAACTATCTCTATCTCTCTCTCTCTATTTATAGAGTTGAATTGTAGAAGAGTTTCTGGTTCTTTACATACATATATATATATATATATATATATACACACACAAAATTGGCAATTCTACCAAACTAGTATATGCGTAAACAGTGTAACACCAAAGTAGAAGTAGGTTTATTTATAATGCAGCCCACAGGATATGGAAATTCATTTAATTCTCTTTTCTTCTTTCTTCTTTAAAAAAAAAATAAAAAAATAAAAAAATATTGATTGTGACTGACAGAGAGCGAAAACGTGGAAGAAATTAGAAACCGAATGAAGAGAAAACAGTGCAAAGTGTCAAAAATGCAGTGATGTGTTTGTGAGCAAAAGAAAACGCCAAAAAAAGCTTTCAATATTTGCAACTTGCAACGCATAACGCTACCTCTTAATTAACTCTGTATCTGCCTATTAAATTCTTTTGCCTTTTCTTTTCATTTATTTTCTCATCAAATATTCTTTTTTTTCTGAATAATATGAGGTTCGTGGTACTAATTTTGTCTACTAAGCACAAGTACTTCATTTCATCACCACATAATTCTCGAATTGAACGTTTATTCACAAAATAAATAAATAAATAAATAATGGATGTTATAGAATGTATTGAGTAGGTCATATGTACATCTAATACGTTGTTATCTATAGATCATGAATTATTTCAGCAAATAAATATAGGTCATGAATTAATGGCATACAAGTTAATTACTTATTTTTCTTTTCTCTGTCTAAAAAATATAATCAGAAGCTCATGCGTCAATGCCCTGTTCCTATTTTGTCGCTTTAAATATATTTTATTTATTTATGTTTTAAACGAAATTTTATCTGTTCTTTCAATAAACATAATGGTATTGATGTTGGAAAAAATCAATTGGTTTTGCAATGGAATTTTAAATTTTTTTCATTAATTGACAGGGACCAACTCAGATTGTAATGAACAATAAAATATTACATCAAAATAATTCGTACCTCTTGAAAATTCGAAATTAAGACTGAGCGTTTTTAAATTAGAAGCGCCTTCAACGAACTAGTCTTCTATGTTATTCTTATTCCACAGCTTATTGTGTGCATGGGTACAAACTCGGCAATCTCATCTACACCAATATCTCCTTCCAATCACTAGAGAGTTATGGAAAATTAATTACTAAAAGTGAACCATTAATTTTCTTCTTCATGAGAGCAGTCTAAGAATACCTCTATTTATAAAAGTGGTAGGAGGAATATGAGACTTATCAGGAATAATATGAGTTTTAGTTAAACTAGGATTTCAAGAGATAATCGTTATCTTATTCTTATCTTATGATAATATATAAACCATTATGTATATGGTGATATATATAAACTTATATATATTATTAATATATAACTTATATACGCTACTCTAAACGTAACCGTACATTTATATATCAATATATAATGTATATATATTACTAACATATGTATGTACGATTTTTAATTTTAATTAAATATTATCTCTTTGATAATTATCAAATAAAAATAAATGTGATAGCATTATCTTCAAATTCTTCTAATATTTAAATTAATTATTTCTATACAATATATAATTAATTACCCCAAATCGTAATTTTAATTGGATTACAATTTTCCACTTGTGGCATAATTATCTCAATTTAGTATTTATTTTATTATTTTCTAAAATTAACTAAATAATTAATTCTTCCTGAAAATATGTTGATAATTCAAACCCAACCTTTTGTAGGCCAGCCAACAATCTAGTCTAATTGGACCATGGTCCACACACTCTATCCATCTCGGTTGTTAAGTTCACGCGTAATTTTCCCGTACCCATCGTATATAAATTTACCTGATCTATTAATTGGAATTTGGTGAACTAGCATAGAGACCTGATGATGAATATATATAATCAAACTTCAATCACAACAAATAAATTAATTTTCAATTAATTTATTTTTTAATTATTAACTATAGTGTTACTTAACAAAAGTCTGAAGTGAACTCTCCATTATATATATCGTATTACGAAATTCTATTAGTTTTCTTCATTATTATGTTCTATCTTATGCAATATTCTCATAGATTATCCATAATTGACCTGATGTCAAGTTTCATTTTACCTTTCTAATTATTTTATTTCAAAATTTCACTATGCAAATCATTGAATAAATCTTTTATTTTATAACACATACTAAATAAAGAATTATTCGTACCCATTTAACCAAATGATCGAAGCCTCATCATTTTTCAATTTCTGAATAATAACTTTGAAAGGACAACATTAACACTTGTAATAGAGTTATAAGTTGTATATCTGTAATACACGCTCTCACCATTTATAAGTCATGCCTCCAAACTTGAAATTCTACGTTCATCGAGATTGCTGCCTTTGGCATATCAAAATACACAAGTCACAAATATTGTGTCATGTATTCACTTCAGAATTAAGATGATTACATAAATAATTATCAAATTGAATTGATTTTAGTTAAACAGAATATTAATAAAATCAATTACACTTAATTAGGTCTAGTCTGATATTTATCTACCACAAGTATATATCAATGACTCTATTTTGGAATCTCTGCTTCAACAATCAAAATAATCTGGAAGCTTTTATCAACATTATGAGTGTAAATAGTATGTCTATTAGCACATGAAATAAATACATTATACTTTGTTGCCTTAAAATATCAAAATACATCTAATGTATTTATTTCTTATGGCGCCAAATCTAGCAATTAATGCAGGCTTACATAGTTGAATAAGATTTAAAAAGGAAAATAGAAAGAAAAAAAGGGGAAAAGACTAATGCTTTACTCATTCAAAGATTGCCTTACTAATTAGGTGTAAACTATACACAATTCATATCTAAACCTTTTTCTCCCACCCTCCCTCCCTCTTAAAGTCATATCTGAAACCTCCTCTCTCTCCACTCTCTCTGTCTTAAATATAAAAACTTGTTTTTATCAATCTCATAATTCATTTAACGCATTTGAGACCACACCCTCATAAATTGTTACCGCTAGTAATACATTTGTCACGCCCCGCAGCCGGAGTCAGTGACGTGGAGGCTCAATTATGAGTTAAACGCGATTGAGATAAAATATTAAGGAAATTCCTAAATGAGCCCCACATTTCGCTGAAAATAAATTACTGATTATAAGAGGTTTATAACTAAGTCTCTAACATCGTTTAGGGCTTCACCCACAGGATACACAGCATTGTACATACATGAACACGTAAATAACATTACAGACATCAACCACGGTCTAGAAATCCAAATATCAGAGTTTACATAATTTACAAATTCGTACATTCGTACACAGGGAGGATGATCACAATACTCACCAAATCCGGTGGTAGCAACTCACTCAGTTACTCCGCACTGCTCCTCGAGTCACCTGGGAGGGGTTTAATATTTATAAAACATATAAAACGTGAGCGAAAGGCCCAGTAGGATATATTTTGTAACAACTTTGTAAATAAGTAAATAAATGAGTAAATAAGTAAATAAATGAGTAAACAAGTAAATAAATAAATAAGTAAATGAATAAATATAGACATTCAGTTCCAACACAACAGCCGGAACCTCACATCCTTTTTCTCAAAGGAAATATAACTGAAAATCTCCATATTACAGGCATTAGCAAGTAATTTATACTATGATAAATTACTTACACAACCACATGCACAAGTCATATCACCCCGGGTCGGGTTTTGGTTCATGTCCCCAATGATGCACTCTCCACATCCTATCTAGGCCATCAGCCGGTTTACCGATTTGCAAGATCTCTTGTCTTAAGAAATCATTCATTAAACTTTATGAAACAGCTCATTATACTCCCCAGAACTACAACAAGCCATAGGGGTTAAAATATTTTTCTTTCGCAAACATGTCATTTCTTTAAAACATTTGCAAGGCCAAAACTCTTTTGAAAATAGGCTCACAAAGGAAAGGGTAAGAAATCCTACCTCACAAATATCTAACCTGGCTAGCGTTACACTATTCCGGCTTTCGCTTCCCCAAAGCCCCTCAATCTGAGTCCTTAGTTAACACTAATACAAAACCACACTTTAGGATCCAATTCTCAATCCTAAAGCAATTCAATACCAATTATACACTTTGATTTCCTATTAGTATGCCATAATTTAATTACCGGTTTTACAAACCATTTCATGTTTCAAATCATCACTCCAAGGGTTTTCAATCTCAAAACATGGATTAAAGAAGCTAATCCATTCACTCTAGGTCCCCAAATGAAACTAATTTGGGTTCTCCTCGAAAACCGAGATCAAAACAGGGTCAAACCCCGTATACACCGGTCGATCGGTGACAGAGTAGCGCAACACCACCGGTCGACTGGTGGTGTGCACTTTGGTCGACCGCATAGGTCGACCTGTTGTAATGAAATCCGGTCAACCGGATAGGTCGACCGGTGGAATCAGCAGGGCGAGGAAAACTCACCAAAATCAGTTCAAAAACCTGCAATTTTAGTTCCAATTCAAAATATCTCAAGGGAAAACCACTAGATCTAGGTTCTAAGTACTAAACCAATTCTAAAGAACCCAAGATCTCTAATTTCGACCATGGTTTTACTCAAAATCCATTTCTAAGCAAAAATAAGTTTTTAATTCTGAAAAATCCGAGTTTCAAGAGAAGTTTTTCAGAAATCTTACCTCAAATCCTTCTCTTGGCGTTAAAAACTTCTTGAAATCCTTCTTTGGTTTGAAATCCGGTTGGTTTGTGACAAAAATAAAAGAGAGAGAGTGAGAGTGAGAGAACGAGAGAGTGAGAGTGAGAGAGAGTGAAGAACGCACGGGAAAGAAAAAGGAAAGAAAGAAAGGAAAAGGGAAGAAAAAGAAAAAGG